ATGACCCTTTTTGCCAGAATAGTAACAGATAGGGATTCCATCTTGTTGTCCTTTCCATTAATCCTTTGGTTCTCTTTCACCCTGTTTTTTTCCTGATCTTTTCCTGCTTTCCCGTCCACTTGGTTTTTGACTTTCCTTTATTGCTGCCACAAAAATCTTTGCTTTTGCCTTCTGTTTTTCCCCCATCTCTCCTCACATAGACCATTGGCACTTCCCTCAATAATTCTAATCCTTTGATTCATGTGAATCATCAATTTTCTCCAATTTCTTTTGGATGTCTTCCAAGGATTTTGCTACAAACTGGGTTCTCAACTGTGCCCCTCCTGCAGGGGAATCAGGATCCATCCCTGAGTACATCTGAATCTGAAGGATTTTCTCAGTCTTTCTTACCATTCCGTTGGAGATTTGTCTCTACACTGATACTCGTTAAAAGCTTTATTTATATTTTGTCCCCTTGGAACTGATTCCTTTATCCCTTGTATCATTATGGTCCTAAGATCTCCCATATTTTCCTCCCCTGAGCAGCCTGATGATTCCAGTTAGGGTTGGTATTTGTCCATTTCACATCCCCCAGAGGACCTCCCTGATTTTGTTTTTCCCACAGTCTCATTCCTGCTTGCCTGATCATTCCTCTTTCTTCCGTAGTGAAGAGGATCCCTAATATGGACTGCATTTCTTCCAAGGTATACATGTGACAGAATAACAGAATTGTCTAGGTTGGAAAAGACCTCCACGATCACCTAGTCCAACCTCTGACCTAACACTAACAAGTCCTCCACTAAACCATATCACTAAGCTCTACATTTAAACGTCTTTTAAAGACCTCCAGGGATGGTGACTCCACTACTTCCCTGGGCAGCCCATTCCAATGCCTAACTACCCTCTTGCCCAACTTTAGCCTGTTCTCCCTTGTCCTATCACCAGGCACATGGGAGAATAGACCCATCCCCACCTCACTACAGCCTCCCTTAATGTACCTATAGAGAGCGATAAGGTCACCCCTGAGCCTCCTCTCCTCCAGGCTGAACAAGCCCAGCTCCCTCAGCCACTCCTCATAAGACTTGTTCTCCAGGCCCCTCACCAGCTTGGTCACCCTTCTCAGGACTTGCTCGAGCACCTTGATGTCCTTCTTGTAGCGAGGGGCCCAAAACTGAACACAGTACTTGAGGTGCGGCCTCACCAGAGCTGAGTACAGGGGGACGATCACTTCCCTAGTCCTGCTGGCCACACCGCTTCTTATACAAGACAGGATGCTGTTGGCCTTCTTGGCCACCTGAGCACACTGCTGGCTCATATTCAGCCGACTATCAACCAGTACTCCCAGGTCCTTCTCTGCCTGGCAGCTCTCCAACCATTCCTCTCCCAGCCTGTAGCTCTGCTTGGGGTTATTGTGCCCCAGGTGCAGGACCTGGCACTTGGCCTTGTTGAACTTCATTCAGTTGGCCTCAGCCCATCGGTCCAGCCTATCCAGATCCTCCTGCAGAGCCTTCCTACCCTTGAGCAGATCGACACACACACCTAACTTGGTGTCATCCAATCCTCCAGCTGGATTTGACTCCATTCACCACAACTCTTTGGGCCCAGCTATCCAGCCAGTTTTTAACCCAACAAAGCGTACGCCAGTCCAAGCCACGAGCAGATAGTTTCTCGAGGAGAATGCTGTGGGAAACAGTGTCAAAAGCCTTACCAAAGTCAAGGTAGACCACATCCACAGCCTTTCCCTCATCCACTAAGCGCGTCACCTTGTCATGGAAGGAGATCAGGTTTGTCAAGCAGGACCTGCCTTTCATAAACCCATGCTGACTGGGCCTGATCACCTGCTTGCCCTGCAAGTGCTGCGTGATGACTCTCAAGATAATCTCCTCCATGAGCTTCCCTAGCACTGAGGTCAAACTGACAGGCCTATAGTTCCCCGGGTCTACCCTCTGGCCCTTCTTGTAGATGGGCGTCATGTTTGCTAGTCGCCAGTCGACTGGGACCTCCCCCGATAGCCAGGACTGTTGATAAATGATGGTAAGACGGAAATTATGGAAAAGTGTTCTGACCTAAGAACTGGTCTAATCTTTCAGCAATTCCTAAACGGTCATCTAAAAGGCTTCCCATTTCCTTCTTAAAATTTCTTACATCTGACCTGTTCAAAGGAACTGCTACAAACCCTATTCCCCTCTGACTCCCCTCAAGGGGTACCTCCCTCAAAGTGTAAAGACCTCCTAAATCATCAGTCCAACCTCGTGTTTCACTTTCCTCCCTCTCTGTGGCTTTTATTTCTAGTCCTTTGCGCAGGAGGAGAGGGAGAGTGAACAGGGGCCATGGCAATCAACTTTCAACAGGTGGTGGTTCTGGTTGCCATGAATAGGGAGGGGGTATATTATCCAGAGGCTCCCATTCTTCCATTCCCCTGTCAGTTCTCATATTTAAAGCCAATACTTGGGTTGGGGGAAATGAGTTTGAGGCTCCTATCCGTAGAGCCGCATAATCATTTTCTTCTTGGTTAAAAGGCTCCTTAGAGTTAACATAGAGGTTCAATGCCTGACATACCCAATCCACAAAGGATCCAAAAACTGGACAAAAAACATGTGGCCTTAAAGGTTCCTTTGGCCATTTTATCATACAAAATTGAGCCGTTTTCTCTTTTTTTCCTTTCCTCAATTCCTAATCATCCCAATATTTTAACATTACCCCTAATGGGCTTTCTGGTGGAATGTCCAGGCTCTTTGAGCCTCTCAGGTCTGAGAATCTACTTTCCTCCTGACCCATCCTGGAACCTTCAAATAAATTCTGAATCCCTGGAACCCTCAAAGAGGTTCCGAATCCCTGGCTGTGCCTGTGTCTGGAGGTATCTTGCAAGTGGTTAACCCACCCATGAATTCCTAGACCAATCGTTTCGGTCCTTCACCAGCCGAGTCCCTCGCAGGAGATCGGAACCATGGTTAGAAGACCTCCGCACTCGCTTCGGAACTAAGTTCCGTCTCAGTCATACCCTTACACACAGTCACACAACCAAATCCCACCCCAACTGAACGGTATACTCACAAATCCTCTTTGTTCGGGTCTTCATGGGCAGAATTACAGGTCACGGAGGGAGAGCTCTTGGTTCTTTACTTGCCTCTTACATTCAAAATCTTGTTGGACTCTAGCACCGCTATCGGCAAGTGCCACTAGGTGGGGCACATCCCTTTACCAGTCACAGATCCAAATTCCAAGAAGATCACGTCGGGGTCACCAATTTGTTATAAATGAAGATACAATTCAATCTGAATTTAGTAATATTTATAAAAGGTGAGTAAATAGTGCTGGGTGCATGGGGAGTCTATGCTCTACCAATACGCACACTCAACAGTCGAACTTTCCAAATATAAATAGAACATTGCTTTTACATATTCATAAGAAACCCGAGTACGCCTATACATACGTATAACCTATCCCCGCTTCGTATTAGAATTCTCTGTGGTGGTAGTTCGGGGTCCTGGGGATGAAGGCTCACGGTTCCCCCCCCCCAATCACCACTAGCAACCTTTTGTTACTGGATCTTGTCCAGACTGCAAGGGTAGCTTCGACTGCCTCCCTCTTCTTCTGCACATGCTCTGCCCTCCACAAGGTTCCCGAAAGCAACAAAATGTGATTGCTTTTCCCATGTTTCGTTAACCCTTGAAACCACACTAATAATATGATTATCATATAACATTAAACAACAAATTTTAACAGTTCCAACCAGGAAACCCCCCAGCAACTTCCATGCCTTACCATCTGGAGAACAAGCAACCCAAGACTGCATGGAGTCTCCTGAATCACCCTTCTTTGTTCCCTCTAAAGTCTCTTACATTCCTGATAGCCTCATCATTAAAGAGTCTGATGTTATCACCAACCATGGGGCTTGCCGACCCCCATGGCCACACTCCCATATCTCCCCCTTCTTTGTTAATATCGACCATTTTATTGACATTAATTATTACTCCATTGGCCCTCCTGCCACTACTGCCATCACAAGCCTTTGCTGTTATGCCCCCTGGTGATCTGAATGTGCCTTTTGACCCAGGCCCTATTGGCCTTGAAAAGGAGATGGATATGTTTCCCTTCGATACAGGAAGAATAGGATACATAAGGCCCAAAGGCCGAGTTGCTTGACAACTTAAAGCGAGACATATTGTTCCCACGAGTAGCCCTGGAATTCTCTGGTGTTTGTAATTAAGAAAAGGAATGGAAAATGGAGACTGTGAAGTCATGGAAGATATGGGAACACTTCAATCGGGATTACCAACTCCAACTATGCTCCCACAGACATGGACATTGATAGTAATAGACTTAAAAGGATTGTTCTGATTGTACATATGTATAGGCATACATATGTATGGGTGTACTCGGGTTTAGTATGTAAAAGCAATGTCCTGTATATTTGGAAAGTTTGATGTTCGTGTGTGCCTGTTGGTGGAGTGTAGACTCCTCGCACACCCAGCACTATTTACTTGCCTTTTATAAATATTACTAAATTCAGATTGAGTTGAGACTTCGTTTATAACACACTAGAAAAACTTCTCTCATATCATCAAACTTTTTGCCGGTAAGAGACTACAATACATAGTCATCTGCAGAGAGACAACTGGGAGAACTCTAGAAAAACCCAGTTATTGATCTGAAGTCTTCCAAAAATCATGGGACCAATAGTTGTCTTTGTGAATTCCAGTCAACTGATTCTGTATAGCTGTATGAATACCAAGTATGTATACATAAACCCAGTGCCTCCGTACTGATCAACCGTCAATTCTACTGAAAGATTTACGTAAATTTACACTCTCTCACTAATCTACATCGTCTCCAGGATGCAACATATTGCAGGAATACAAGTATAGCTTTGATGTAGATTTCAGGGAACTGCTATTATCAGGGATTCATCTCCAAGTACCAATGAGGCAGTCTGAAAGAATTAGTAAAACCCAGAGTATTTTTGACAACAATTTCAGTAGCTTATGCAACTCTATGGAATAACTATACATACTACCTACCTGGACTTCAGAATTCACAATGGCATCTTCCCTGTTCTGTTCCTGAGAAGTGGTTGATCTGCTCAGTAAATGCAGACAGCTTAGTATTTATAACAGAGTTAGTATCACTGCTATGTCATAGGTAGTGAAACTATAGGAGAGGGATGAAGAAAAATGCCTGTTCTACTGGCAGAGTTATGAACATAATGAGGACCCTGGGTCCCATACTCCATACTGATTGTTAGGCCACATAAAGCAGGGACATGATTGTATAGAATGCTCTGAAAAATTAATGTTCATTGACTCTGTGGAGGAAATACACAGTCACACTAGCTGGAAACATGTTTACCCAGTTTACGATCTCCATACCAAGAAATGCTTTTCAAAAAAAAAAAAATCAACAGGAAACTATCAGAAGTAAGAGTGCATAGCTATGCCATATACCTATCTGCTTATCCATCTGGACTCTAGCTTGCTAAGAACATTCTTACCTGATGTAAGTTGAATTATTTTCATTTGCAGCAAGTATTACAAAAACAAATTTAATGGAAGTCTTGTTGCAGCATGAACTGATACAGAAATGAGTAAGACTGTATTGTCTAAGACAACACAGAAGACTTGTAAACTACAGTAGATACTTATTACAGTCCCAAGAACAATCCAGTTAAAGTGACACTTCAAAACTTTTTGTTATTTAGAATATTTACCAACCAAAAATTGGTTTAGATGATTTCAAAAGTCCTGCAAACTAAGGAAAACTTTCAATTTATTTGGCCAAGAAAAATAGATTCTACATTCAATCATAGCATTTCTTATGTATTTGATTACATTAAACATTTGAGTAAATACTCAAGAAAACAGTGGCTGAAGTCTGATGATTTTATTGAAAACAAGACAATAGAGTAGGGAAAAGGATAGAGATGGTGGATCCCTTGCAATGCAGTTCACACAGCCACAAAGTTGAAATAAGTATGGAATTACATACAAACACAAAGAACTGTACGTTCATAACATTAACAATTTTACTTAAGTTTCAACCTGAAAGTAAGCTTCCTATTTCTGCCCCATTCTCTTACAAATGAGTCTCAGCTTCTCCACACCCACATTCTAAGCTCCTGGGCCTAGCAAAGCTGTTAGCCTTCCCTAAGATACTTCTTAGATGGTCCTAAACCTGAAAGGCCATTGTTTTTTTTAGCAAACAGACATATTACAAAGAATTCTGCCCACAAGCACATAACCTAGGAGCTGTTAATTGTTACCTCTTTTTACCTTCCATAGTTCTGCTAATCCTTCCTGCACACCAAGAATTGGTAAACATGATTATTTCAGGCATACTTTTCATCAGAATCTGTTTGTGCAACCCTGGTGAAAGTTACAGTGCACCATAAATAGGTACCATCTACAATTTAAAACCTTCCATCCAAACCAAGCAAAAAAGAAAGCCATTTTTCAGAGCATTAGATTTGCTTATGTGTGAATTGGATTCACAAACATTTATCAAACTCTGCAAAGCATCTGATTTTTGCATCTGTTCTATTTTAGTATTAGATCTATCTCCCCTATATTTTAAAAGTGTTATGGAATTGCAGGTAAAGGGCATTCTCATTTATTTCTTGTCTGGAATTATTTATGCCAAATAAATCCAGCAAACAAAGTACCACAGCTGGAATCTTTTTCCCACATCTTTGCATGAACATTCAAGCCGCAAGAAAGGATGAACAGCTGGAGAAATGCAGCTCCTCTTAATGAAATGTAATGTTTTTCACAATGCTCTTAAGGCTTAAACTTCCTTCACAGCTATAGCTATCAGTAGCAATCAGAATTAAGACATTCTTCTTCTGAGTTCTGCTCTGGGTATATGTTCTTCACATGTGATAATGAGACAGACATTTTCTCTATCATAAAAAAGAAAAACAAACAGCAAACACTACAGACCAAGTATAACTAACATAACCCTATCAACATTTTTACCTATCTTTACTTAATTAAATCCTTTCACAGGCTTCATGAGGAACTGCATGGCTAATCCATGACTTCTCTATAATAAAATACGTGTATCTAGCACTATGGACAATGGTAAAGCTGGCTACATCATCCAACTGCATTAGTCTGAAAACAGCAGCTCTTCAGCTGGAAACACAAAGAGTAACCAAAAGTTGGTTATTCAAGTTGTCCAGTCTTTTTCCGTAGTGAATCAACATGTCAGACACCAATGAAGCTATACATTCCATGAAATAAACAACTTTAGAAAACACATTATCAAGCGAAGAGATTATTTTCACTGCTGACCTGTTACTATTCTATTTCTAAAAACAATCACTACTCACTTCCATAGTTGCTGCTACAAAACCATGTAGAGACAAAACAATGTTTTGCTCTTAGTAAACTACATTTCTCCATTCCAAAGAATCACTTCACAATATATCACCTCTTTATTTATAAAGTATGTATATGCATATATATATACCCTTATCAGCAACAGTTCTATTAGAACTTTTCTTTTTAATGAACACGTTTCACCTGATAACTCTTACTACTACATAAAAATTCTTTCTCTACCTAAGTAACTCTTTAACTAGTTCTACGACCTCTTGTAGCACCACCACATACTTTGCACAAATTTCAACTACAGCAGCATCAGTGCAGGCATCCACCAGATATTTATGCACTGGTGAGACCTATTACACCTTTTTTTCCCCCCCATTATGTGACTCTATTCTATTTGAGAATCCTGCTTACATTCACTCTGAGTCCTGCTGGACTGCCACTGGTATCAAAGAAATAATAAGGACACAAATGTATACAAATATTCAGCAATTCCATGTACACGCAAGGATACAAGATGGTCTCTAGAACACCCTTCAAACAGAGTAAATATGACACTTTTCAAAAGGGATAAAGATACTCAGGCTGACTAAAGCATAACAAAAGAGCCTCAACTGTTTAGATAAAATAGTTTTTCATGACATATCAAGAAAAGAGTAGGGAATCACATATCCAAAAAGACTGGAAGACAATACCTGCTTCTGCAATAGCTATACAACTTTCAGATAACATTCTGGGCCTATTATCACTGTAGGATTAAGTAGGTGCAAGTTGGCTGATTTGAAATATTAATTTATAGATCTAGCTTAATGTACTATCCACAGATTTCTTTAAATACTTATTCTGGTTTTGGCTGGGATGGGATTAATTTTCTTCCTAGTTGAAGGTATGGTGCTGTGCTTTGCATTTGGGATGAGAATAATGCTGATAACACACTAATGTTTTAGTTGTTGCACAGAAGTACATGCACTGAGTCAAGGACTTTACAGCTTCTTGAACCTCCCTACCAGCAAGGAGGCTGGGGATACACAAGAAGCTGCGATGGAATACATGTACAACCAGAACAGCTGACACAAACTGGCTCCATACATCACATGAAATAATAAACCGGATGGTTGGCAGGGGGACGCTGATCGGAGCCTAGATGGGCATCAGACAGAGGGTGCTAAGAAACTGCATTGTGCATCACTTGTTTTGTGTATTCCTTTACCGTCATTATTATAATTATTTTCTTTTCCTTCTCTGTCCTATTAAACTGCCTTTATCTCATCCCACAAGTTTTACCCTTTTCCCCCCCATCCTTTTCTCCTTGGAGAGTTAACCTTACTGACGATGAATGGGGAATATAAGGGTGGACACTTTCCCCTGCTCCTTTACCTTCCCTTTCTCCTTCACCATCCTCTTCCCCTCCAAGCTAGCCACAAGAGCACTTGAGAATTTTGAATATCCTTTTGCTATGTCTCCCAAATGTGTTTTTGGTTTTGTTTACAGTTAAACAACTATTTAAGAATACCACCAGAGGTCTGTCCTAAGGCAGGATAGCTACAAGTGGCAGGGAGTGTTTAGGAGGATATGGGCAAGTACCTAGGACAATGGGCACCTTCAGAGTTTTGGGACTTCAGCCCTGAACAAATACAGAATCTTGAAAAACTAGTACAATATTTGGAAAAAATCTTCTGTAACCCTGGCAATCCCAGAGTCACAAATCACTGCAATGTGCTGGGGCTTGGCCCATGCCTAACAAGCTACACTCAACACTACTCCAACCCCCATGATAGGCCCTGCAGCTGGACCACTGAACCAACTTGCGCAGGTATCAGTCACCCCTATAATGAGAGAATAAGCAATGAATAAGAAAATCAACTTATTTGGTAAGGAAAGAAACTCTGCTAAGAAGGGGAAGGAGGAAGAAGAGGACGAGGCAGGCTACTCCAAAGCAGGGCCATCACAGGAACAGGAGGATGAAGAGGCAGAACTTGTAAATGCAGTAGTAACCACCCAATCCCCATCCCTGGGTGAGCTGCAAGATACATGAAAAGATTTGAGCTGCCATCCAGGTAAGCACACTGTCAACTGGCAGCTCCAGTGCTGGGATAACAAGACCAACAGTATGGAATAAGAGGGCAGGCAAGCTAAGCAGCTAGGATCCCTCTCTAGGGAAGGGGTTATTGACGAAGTGATTGCAAAAGGGGCACAAGCCCTCATCCTCTGGAAGTGACTCCTGTCAGGCATGAAGGAAAGGTATCCCTTCTCAAAGAAGATTTTATATGTCACCCAGACCAGTGGATGACCATAGAGACAGATATCCAGTTCCTAAAGGAATTAGCACTGGAGGTGATTCATGATGACCTAGACAATGACCAGATATCCAAAAATCCAGATGAAGTCAAATGCACATGACACCCATGTGGCAGACAACTATACATGTATGGAGTGCACCAAACATCATCATATGCCAACTCATTGGCAGTAATGACCTGGACAGACAGAGAGGAACACATGATGGATTGTCTGGCCAACTCCAAAACAAAGAAAGTATAGAATACCTTGATCCTGGAGGCACGAGTCCATGAGTTGCAAGGAAAAACAATCACAAAAGGTTTTTTTTTTGTAGGAAAATTGTTGCTCCAGTTTCCAGTGGGCAGTATTCCAGACTAATGAATACTATGACCAGGACTAGAGGGGCCCTGCCTCCAGCCTGGTGGAGGAAAGGGACAATCAGATTTATTGGACTGTGTGGATTCAGTGGCCTAGTACACATCAGACCTATAGGGCTATAAGGTTCTAGTGGACACCAGTGCAGTGTACCCTAATGCCATCTGTATAGCCCCTGGAGTGACAGGGGGATCCCAACAGCTATTTGTATTGGAGGCTGAAGTGAGTCTAACTGGGAATGAATGGAAGAGAACCCATTATGACTGGCCCAAAGGCTCCATGCATCCTTGGCATAGACTATCTCAGGAGAGGATATTTCAAGGACGTAAAAGGGTGGGCATAGCTGCCTTGGAGAAAGAGAAAATTAAACAGGGGTCTACCTTGCCTGGTCTCTCAGAGGACCCTTCTGTTGTGGGGTTGCTGGTATGGTGCTGCACTTTGCATTTAGGATGAGAATAATGCTAATAACGCACTAATGTTTTAGTTGTTGCACAGAAGTGCATACATTAAGTCAAGGATTTTTCAGCTTCTCATACCTCCCATCCAGCAAGGAGACTGGGGATGTGCAAGAAGATGGGAGAGGGCAGAACCAGGACAGCTGACACAAACTGGTCAAAGGGATATCCCATACCATATGATGTCATGTGGAACAATAAATTGGGGTGGTTTGCTGGGGTGAGAGTACAGGGTGGTGCTGCACAGGGTCTGGCTGGGCATCATCAGTCAGCAGGTTATAAGCGATTGCATTGTGCATCACTTGTTTTGTATATTCCTTTACCTTTATTATTTCCCTTCCTTTTCTGTCCCATTAAACTATCTTTATTTCAACCTCCAAGTACTCCCCTCCTCCCACCCCCAATTGTCTCCCCCATCTCACTGGGAAGGGGGAAGTGAGCAAAGGTAACTGTGGTGCTTAGCTGCCTGCCAGGTTAAACCACAACATTAAGCATCATCCCAAGGAGATCATTGCAATCATTAGTAAGACAGGGAGCTTTGTGTAACATTAAGTAAAAATATCAAGAGAACCAAGCTGACGCTATTGAGAAGGATAACATTTGATCAGAGAAAAATTAAGCTAAGAGACTTTACAGGGCTTGAAAGCATTCTAAGACTTAAAAGTCAAAAAAACATCACCTATGATCAAGAAGGGGAGATGTTATAAGAGCTACAAAACCCACAAACAAAGACATTTTAAATTGAGAGATTTAATGAGTTCCATCAATGTAATTTGTCAGGTGATTGAAATCACTTGAGTGAAATGTCCAACTTCTTAAGGTTATTTAAACCAGCTGTACTGCAGATTAAAAAAATAATCTTTTTGTTGCAACTTAATGCTATGAAGTTTTGATCTGTGTACTCTCAGTTGCTAGCATTAATCCAGAAAAAGTAAAATTCCTATTACGTACTCAAGAAAACCATGAGGCAGGAGACAAAGGAGAATAGAAGAGGGAACCTTAAGACAACTGGCAAAGGGAAAAACGTAGGCTTCTCCACTTCCACTTTAGAGCCCTGACATAGATAAGATACACACTTAGCAGAAGCAAACTCAATTGCTCACCCAGAACAAATAACAACTAACAAAAAAGAAAGATTTCCCATCTGTTGATGTAATTTATCACTGCAACCCAAGAAAAATGACCAGCACAAAAATCAGACTGTGTTACTCCATCCAGAACCTGAGAAAAAGTCAGAAAAGCTGTCCTGAAACCTAATCAGTCTACACATACTTGACCTGTACTGTGTGTACAAGCCCTGTGTATTTAAATTGGGGTATTTTACCAGTACCATTCTCTCAAAGTACAGCCACTTTCACTACTATGTCAAAGCATTCCAGGATTCAGACTACACATCAGCGGGAAATTCTTTCAGCACTTCTGCGTATGGACAAGTTATTTCTGTTGGAAGTGTATTTGTTACTCCACAGTTTTTGTAGGTTTGGGTGTGCCTTTAGTGATGAGTCGCTTTTTTTTTCAAATTGTTTTTACAGATCCTTTCCCCACACATTCCTCCTCTCCCCAGAACTGAAATAATGTGCTGTATTAAATGCTTTTGTACCTCCCTGGGTCACGGTCATATACCTGTAAAAAGTCACTCTTTGGCGCTGAAATGAATATTCAGTTTTTAAAACAAAAGGGACTCTGGATCTTAAATTTAAGGAAGAATAAAAACATAAGTTGCCAGAAGATAGAATGTTTTATTTTGGGTCAGTGTAGATCTTGTAGATCTTTTTTTGTTTCAACGCTTCAGTATTTAGTCCAGTTAGTTAAAAAAAATAAAAATAAAAACAATCCCCTCCAAAATCAAAGCATTAGTCACAGGTCTCTCCAAGAGTGCCCTGGGAAAACAGGATAACATTTAAAAATTATATGGTTTATTCTCTAAAGCACTCCTAGATACAATATCAAATGGAACTCATTGTCTCTACATATTCTAAGAATACCTTTTTTTTAAAAACACAAACTGACAGTGCTGCTTGCCTGCCTCTCTCCTTCCTGAGAGCCTTTCTTTCCCCCCCAGTCAATCTCAAGGTACATGTAAAAACAATTTCCGACATACAGCTGATTACAGAAAGTAAATGGCATTAATACTTGTGATTAAAAAATAAGACATTATTTTTCACCATAGAAAAACCACAGCTTAAATGAGGCAAGCAGAAACAATTACCTGCTGGATGTATATTTTGTAATATTTTTTATTTTAAATTTATTATAAATACTATGTGTATTTATTATTAAGTTTCCATTTATTTTATAAAAACCTTTTCTTACATTTACGAGGGTCAAGTGCAAACACTGCAGGAGATTCTCACATGAACTTTATCTGTAATTTTATCTTTGCATGGCATGCCGTCTAAGCACTGAACTGTACTATGACTTAATAACAGATGCATGCTTCAGCAGTTATAAATAATGGACTTTTTAAAAGTATATGACTGTGACACAGGAGAGGTACAAAAGCATTCAATACATCACTAAAGGATTTTAATAATGTCTGTTTCTATTCTGAAAATAAATACATGGTATATATTCAACATATTTGGTAAACAGTCATGCTAATTTAAGCCCAAGACTTTGAAAGCGTATCTTTCAATTTTTCCCCCAGGTTTTCACAGCTCTAGCAGAAAAATTCCCCAAATGTTAATGCTTGTTCAGCATGCTAACAGTTGTCAGTTTTCTAAAGGATTCTATTTAATGATACCAGTTGAGAAAATAGTGTGAAGACAAAAAAAAAAAAAAAAAAAATCAGTCAAAATAGACACATATGGTCTCATATCATGTGTTTCATTTCGGGCCAGGCCCTTTCTTTTCTTTCTAAACAGACATAAGCAGTTATACAAGCCTTTGTAAAAATCAGCAAGAATTTCACCCCCTTCCCACCACACACACACCTGTCTATGTAGACCCTGCAAAACATTAACAGGTAAGATGCTTGTCAGCAGCATCTACTGCTGCTGTCAATATATATAAAGCTGTCAATGTTTCAGACACACATTTTCCACTTGTGTATTTGACATCTTGCAGAAGATACCCAATTTCACTAATGAAGAATTCAACCAGAATACCAGAGCTTTTACCCAGAATCTAAGACATACTAGTAACCAGTGATGACTTGGTGTTTTTGTTTTTACTGGTTTTCAAACTAGTTAGCCAGGATCGGGGAGAACCAATTAATTCACAATATTTTGTTTCATCCAGTTTTTCACCCCAGAGTACTGCTCTCAGCTTTATACCTGCAGGTGTTATACTGCAATCCGTAAATACTCTTTGATACCAGATTCTAGTTTTCATGGAGGACGTCATATAGGGGCGGTTCTAATTGGCAAAGCCCCTTGGGCATTTCAGGGGAGAAAAAAAAAAAAAGCTTCTCCACCCATCCATCTTCACAAAAGGGGACTGACTGCTTGCTCTGCACAAGAACGCAATAAGGTAGCTCTGCAGGGGCTAAGGTTTTATTGTCGTCTCCAAATTATAACCAAAAACAGAATATCGGCTCCAAAGCACAGGTAGACATTAATTTATTTAGTCTGCACGCAAGGTGGATTTTTCTTTGGGAGAAACCTTCACCTAGACCTGGGCTAGCCAGTCGCGCACAACCCACCCACTAATCTGTTACTGCAATGTCCTGAGGAGCAGGAAAGCAACCCCTTTCTCCCCCGCACAGGTTGCGATCGCGCGTCTCTTCGCAGCGGGAGGAACCCACTGCGGCCAGATACTGGGGGCCGCATCCCGACCGGCGGGCCAGGGGAACGAAAGCAGCTTTGCACAGAGCCCCTCTCCCCTCCACATGGGTCGCGTGGGAAAAATAAATGAATTGATAAATAAAATGAACGAAATAGAAGAGGGGGAGCGGCTACTGCAGAAAGAAGCAACCGCCGCCTTGCCCGCGGCCCCCCGAGGCTGTTACATAACGACAGCACGGAGCACAGGGCTGCGCACCCCTGCCTTATTGGGAGAGACTCTGATCCCACCACGGCACCACCGATAAGAGACAGCGCTGGGCAGCTACGCCAGCGTTCCCGCCTCCTCCCCTTGGGTCCTCATTAACCGAATGCAAATTAATTAGCCAGCAAGCTGAACAGGGGGTGGGGGGCAAGAAACATCCCTGCTCAAAAGAAGAAGGGGGGAGGGAGAAAGGGCTGAGGAACCGGACTGTTTCACCCGCAAGAAGCACGTACTTACCACCGGCTCTCCGAGGCAGCAGCAAGTCCTGCCAGCCTAACCTAACTCTCTCCCTGGCTCAGGCGCTACTGGGAGCCAGTCTCAAGCCGGCGCGGCGGCTCAGCCAAACGCCCGCCCTCGCTGTCCAGGCATTGGCGAGCGCTCGGCACCGCCTGCCCGACCCCCTCTGCCGCTCTCTTCCATAGGCCAGGCAGGCTGTCTAGCTGGCAGCCGCTCGCGCCTTCCCCGAAGCGTGAGGTAATGAATCAGCCTAGGGGCAGCCTCTGCCTTTGCTGCCTTAAATGGCTGGTTATTGCCAGCAGGGTTTCTCTTCTCCTCCCTGCTTATTACCCAGTGCTCAGCAGCAGGTGGCCAGGGAGAGGTGGGAGGAGGCCGCGCGAGCGGGAGGAGGTAACTTCCTTACCGCTCCCACGGCTAGGAGCTAAGGGAGACGGGGTGGGGGCGTGCGTGCGTTAACCTGCATCGGGTAGTACGAGAGTTGAGGCCAGGTGTAGCAGTTTCTGCCATTCCTCGTATCCTATGCTCCCTTCAGGAGGGAAATTAAGAAACCAAGGAGCATCAGTTACTTGTGTCCTGCCAGGCTCTGTAAGGTTCTGATCCTTCTGATCCTGGCTGCCCATTTTGTCATAAATTGTGCTTGTTGACAAATAATAAACAATTAAAAATAATTAACTAGAAAGGAATGGGCTGGATTGTGCAGTGGAGTAGGTGTTCCACAAAACCCTGCGTCTCCCACCTCACTATCTGGTTAGGACCAGGTCTAGGGTTGACACAGTAGAGATGCACCAGTGAGAAATCTACTCAGAAATATTTAAAAAGAGACTGCTCAGGAGTTGGCAGAAGTCTAATGAACTGTCATGCATCCTCACTTCTGAATTTATAACCAGAGTCCAATCAGACCAGAGTCCACCATATCTAAGTGGACCATAACTTGGTAATTGCTGTGCTAAAGTACTGGAAATAAAATAATCCTTCTGCAGAGATGAGGAAGAAAAGAAATAAGATTGAATTAATGAGCAGTGGTGCCTCAATCTTTCAAATGCAAGATAGTTATATAGCTGACTTTTTAAAAGTCTATGTATACATTTGCATTAAGACACTGGAATAATAATTTTTAAACTAGTTTATATCATTATTTTGGTATCCTAAGGCATGACCCACCACTGCATAAATGCTGTAAGGCCTCTTCACATTAGGATTGGGTTTGGCTGCAGTACAGGTATAGGTTTTATAGTAGGGTATGGCATTTGTAATCTCTTTTGAGAGGGCAAACCAAAATCATGTTGTTGTTGTTTTATCCCAAGTTTTCTCTTTCACCATGAGGACACAGGAAATCTAACCTTTATGAAACTTGAGCTGCCTCAGAAAGATTCCCTACCCTGCAACTGAAAAACAGATTAAGAAAGGTACGGTTTTAAATGAGACTAGTTTTGAATGCAAAAATGAATGCAATCCAGATTAACAAAAAATGAGGGGTAGTAAGTAGCCCAGTGGAGAATACTCACCTAATGTTTAATATGCGGCTGATGCTACAATATTTTCAAGTATTTCCCCTACCTCATAGAGTGTAGACTGTAATAATGTTTCTCTTAACAGAATTTTTCATCACAGCCCATGTTCCTTTCTAGTAGCAGAAGACATGCAGAATCAGAATTACCCAAATTTGATTGTGATAGATTAGATTTGATTAGAGTTTTCTCAGAATCATGATAGCAGCAGGATAAAGAAGGAAAAAAAAAAGAAAAAAAAAAAAAAGGAAAAGAAAAAAAATCAGGGAAAGGAGAGGAACTTACACATTAACTTTTCTGATCTTACTACAAATACGTATTGCTTTATTGTTTTGTGCAAAGTTATTATGTTTCCTACCGGGTTCCTTTCAAAATACAGCATTGGTTAAAAGAAAGAAAATACAGATTACTTGTTCCTAAGGGATAACTTTTTCCTTTAGCACACAGTTTAAAGAAAAAATATATATATATTAAAAAAAGCTAAGCTCCATATCCTTTGTCAAGCTTTGAAAACAAATTATTTTCATGGTAAAACATGTTGTAAATCTTAACTACAGTAATAGAGTGTCACAATCTAAAAATGATTTTAAAAATTATCACTTCACAAAAATTCCACCATTTCTACAAGGAAAATCAACTTTCCCCATCTAGAGCTTCAGGAAAAATATAGAGTTTTCTCACTGTTAGACCTTAGAAAACTGATAATTTAAGGGAATGAGAGAAGGAGCATATTTGTTTAAAAGACTGGCATTTCATTTGATGGAAAATGGAGTGACAGAACAATTCATAAAATGTGAACTTTGCTTTAAGTTGACATTTTTATTTAAATATAAACAGCAGACCTTAATGTTATCTAAAACATACCTAAATATTTTTAAGTCAAATAACATAACGTAGTTGATCTAAAATTAAAGTTGAACAAGGACTTTTTTTCTACTTTCTGGAAAATGCTTAAAGCAAAAATACTCTGAAATTCATGAGTATAAGTTTTTAAAAATTTCCCCTTCCCTTTCATTTTCAAATTTCAAAATCTCATTCATTTAAGGATTAGTGAAACACTAAGTTAATAAGTTAAAAGCAGTTGTATGCAAACTTATTACTAGCTATATCTCTTTTCATTAGAAATGCTAACTTAAGACCTATAGCTACACATTTACGTGAGATTCTTAGCATCCATCATGACTTTTGCCACCCCACCTAAATTGATTGTCATTTTATTGTTTGGAAGTTATTTTCTTAAGAATTTGTCTATATCAGCCCCAGATATAGCTAGCAGTGTAGCAAGGAAACCTTAAAGAATCTTGAAATGCTCCTGTACTGTATAATCAACAAAATTAAAACTCATTGATGCACTCCATCAATTCTGTCAGCAACTAGAGGCTCTAAAATCTTTAATTTCTGGACTGAAATATAATTTGACAAAGTATTTTTATTATTATTACGCTACGACAAAAAAAAATAGAACTGATCACAGGAAAGTCTTATGACAGAGTACAACTAGCAGATTAACAAAGATCATTTTAATAATAACTTAAATATGGAAAAGAAGTTCTTTCTGTTAAAAACAAACAAAAGCCATGCTTTTACAGTTCCATGATTTTTCTCCTTCACCTTGTGTAGCGAGAGAATTAGGAGGTCCAAAGATCAGCTAGAATTCAATTTGTCTACTGCAGTAGAAGACAACAAAAATGCTTTTGTAGATTATACATTAAACATTTACACATTACCACATACATTTCATAAATACATTAACAGCAAAAGGAGGAACAAGAAGAATCTACATCCTTTTTATTGGATGTGAGGGGAAAGATTGGGATGAAAGCTGAGGATAAGGCTGAGGAACGAAATGCCTTTTTTGCCTCAGTATTTATTAGTATGGCCAATTGTTCTCAGGGTACACAGCCCCCCGAGTTGGAAGGTGGTGACAGGGAATGAGATGAAGCTCCTACAATCCAACAGGAATATAGAAGTGACGTATTACACCATCTGAACCTTCACAAGTCTATGGGGCCTGACAGCATTCATTTGAGGGTATTGAAGGAGCTGGCAGAAGTGCTCACCAAGCCACTTTCAATAATTTACCAACAGTCCTGGCTAACCGGAGAGGTCCCAGTTGACTGGAGGTTAGTGAATGTGACACCACTCTACAAGAAGAGTAGAAAGGAGGATTTAGGGAACCATGGGCTTGTCAGTCTGACCTCAGTACCAGGGAAGCTTATCGATCAGCTTGAACGTCATCACGCAATACATACAGGAAAATCAATTGATCAGATGCAGCCAGCATGGATTTATGATGGGTTAGTTCTTCCTGACTAACTTCACCTCCTTCTATGACAAGATGACTCAGTAAAGACTGTAGATGTTGTCTACCTGGATTGCAGTAAAACATTTGATATTGTTCCCCACAGTATTCCACTGAAGAAACTGGCTGCACATGCATTGAACAGGTGTCCAGTTCATCTCATAAGCATATAGAGAGCTGGACATCCTGATCTTCATAAGACTGCTTCTGAGGCTTTTTCTCCTGCAAAATTAGCCTCCAGTCTTATAATTCAGCTTCTTTGTAAGACAAACCACTAAGTACAAAGAATGTTTCATTGTTTTCTATTCCCAGTAATAAAAATCCCTAGTAATAGTGGCAGCGTATCTGAATTGTCATATGTTACTCCTGCAATATAGTGCTGAACGCAGTCCAAGCACAAAATGGAAGCATAGGGATACCCTGTTTTTGTTTTTTACGTAGATGTCCAGATAGCCTGAAATGTGAGTAGAGAGATGTGGACATGAATGGGCAGCTGTTGAGATGCATGCTTCCCCTTTCTAGTTTTGTTTGTTTCAAACATGTAGAGGAGGAACTTCATTCTGCCCTACCTTCTTGCAGTCTCGGGGAGTAGCAGCAAGACAATCTAGCAAGTAGAATCAAATGTTGGACAACAGCTGCTCAGAACTCATTTCCTTCCAGCACTGTTAGATGGATTATGGAGTATATATTGAGGTTATGCACAATGAGAATACTTTCATGTAAGATATGCTTTGTACCTGACAGACTTTTTTCATGACCCTTAAAAGTTCAAGGTGTTTTGTTTGTTTGTTTTGTTTTGTATTTTTAAGCCTGTTATATATGGAGTGGTAATTCGTGACGAGAAAATGGTTGATATTAATAAAGAAGGGGGAGATTTGGGAGTGTGGCCACGGGGGTTGGAAGGCTCCGTGGTTGAGATAACATTAGACTCTTAATGATAAGGCCATCAGGAATGTAAAAGAGTTTAGAGAGAACAAAGAAGGGTGATTCAGGAGACTCCATGCTTGTTCTCCAGATGGTTCTCTTGTTCTCCAGCTGTTAAGGCATGGATGCTTCTGGGTGTTTACTGTAGTTGTTATATTCAAAGTTGTTTGATCAATGAAACGTTGTTTTGAAAAGAACTGCTGTGGAGAGAAGGGTATAAGAGGGGAGCCTGCCCTCAAGATAAAAAAAAAAAAGGCAATGCGATGTGATGAAGTTATGTCATCAATAAAGAAGCAGAAAGAAGGAATGAAAAGGAACAGGCTAGCAGAATGGAGACCAGGACGGGAACAGGAGCATTGATCGCCTCATGAAGATGGGTTCGGCCAAACTCAGCAAACTGCTCAGAGAAGCTCATACAGAAAGTTGCTGGAAATAGGCGCACCGGAGCTGGGAAGAAGCTCGAGCTGAGAGAAGCGGACCTGTGCACACAACTGCCCCTCACTGGTAAGCAGTTGCGCATTATGGGGAATCATATGTC